AGTAGAAAATAGAAGGACCAGCAACTAGTATAGTTCTTATTGGAAGGGAGGTGCTGAAGTCCCATATGGGTTGTAGCACCTTGAAGGTAGTTAGGAGGATAAGACTAAGGCCTCGTGGCCTCTCCTAGACAACCCTTATACACTACATGTGAGCCTTGGTGAGATTCGAACCCTTGATCTTTAAGCAAATTACCCTTGGGATAAAATATTTTCACTTAACTTTTTATTTATTTACTTGTTGTTTCAAACCTTTGTAACTTACTCATAATAATTCGGATTTACATGTTTTTTACACCATTGAAAAGATAAGAAAATAGAATATCTAAAAATATACTTTTTATTTTTTATTTTTACTTTTTACTAGACGAAAATGTAATGAACATATTGTGACTAAGTTTTAAAGTGTGTATTTGCTTATATACATTTCTTTCACTTGTTTGTATATTTTTCTTCTTTTGTTCTTGTTCATTGCATCTTCTACTTCATACTACCAATCACAAGCAACTCTTAATTGAGGCCATCTTGTAATTTTGATGGAGGGGTGAAATTTACACTCACAAGGAGCATCCAAATTAAAGTCTTGGAATGACATGAATCATTATACCTGATGAGGTGAAAGCCATAATATTGTATTATGTGTATTTTTTTTTGAGAATGCACTAGATACCTAGTTATGGAAGGTAAGTAAAAATACAACAACAATCCTATTAAGTCTAATAGAGCCTTAAATAAAATTTAAGTAATCTTTAATAATCCAAGTCAAACTTTGATTAGTCTAAAGTAAATTTAAAAGAGTTACAAAAAAATACAAAGAAGTCATAAATTAATTTCAAAATAATTAACAAAGAAATCATAAAGAAATATAAAACAAACCTTTAAAAAATAATAAAAATAGAAATTTTAAATAAATCTGGACTAAATCTTAATTCAATCCTAATTTAATCATAATTAAAAATTTAAATAATCTTAATCAAATCTTAGATTAAATCCTAATTAAATTCTAATTAAAATCCTAATTAAAATATTAATTAATTTTAATCAAATTGTAGTTCAAACCCTAATCAAATCTTAATCAATTAAATTTGAAAATTTTATAAAAACTAAATTAGCAATAAGTACAAAAAATTTGAAGAAGATTGTATATATTAAATAGACAATAATCTCTAAATTTTACTCGAGTGTGAGCCAACCTCCTTTTCCAACCTTGATATTAATATTTTAGAGTCACAATCTCTTAATTTCATTATTTAATTGGTCCCAACTTTAAAAAAAAATTGAAAGTCCAATAAGCTACTATTGAGAAAAATTGTATATTAATTCAACTACCAAATTGATAAATATCTTAGAAATCCTCATTAATCCTTTAAACTCCAATTTCTCAAACTATAACTTATAAAAACTCTTATACTCTTCAATTTAACTACTTGATTGACCTCAACTCTCTCATATACATTTACAATGACAAACTATCAAATTTTTGTCTATAATAAACATGCTACAAAATTCACAAAATCTTGAAATTTATTAACTTTTTTTATTTTTCAAATTCAAATCTATTAAGTATATCATTTGGTTTGAAAATCCCTCAAAATCTCAAAATAATCCAAATGACATAAAACCAACTCTCAAAAATCTTTTTATCTATTTTCTTCCTAATTCTATTCTTTTATTTTCAAAAAAACCCAATAGTTGTCGTAGATATGTAATTTTGTATCTTAAGGTCTGATTTTGATCGAAGTTCACATCTAGTCCTCTTTAAGTATCAATTTTTAGTAATTTGAGGTAATTTTTATTTTAATCTATTATCAATTTTTTCCAAAGTATACCTATATTATTTACTTATCTTATTTATTTTGATTTGAGGTATTTATACTCTTACAAAGTAAATAGAAGTTCTTTCTACAAAAAAAAATATTAGGCATAAATTTTTTACTTCCTTCATATTAATTATTCTTATTTTTTTACTACATCTTTCTATTAGGTTCTTTAATAATAACATCCATATTTTTATTTTTAATCATGTAGTCATGTTTCTATATGACAACTAGATATGAGGTAACACCTCAATTAATCATTCACAAGAATACAAACTTATAGTATTCTCCCCTACATGGATTCATTGTGTCTTTGCATATTGCATCTCTAAAGATTCAAGCTAGTAAGTCAAGTTTGGCTTTTACTCCATAAGATATACACATGGATATACAAGGTAGAAAAAAATGGTATAATGTTTAACAAGACCCTTTAGTCCCAAAAACAAGTATACCACATAATATAATTGAAAGTAGTTGATTACAAAAGAAATTCTTAGATTAAAATACAAACATGCATAAAATATAGTGTTCTTCATACCATAGAATATTTTTAGCTTTTCCATCAGTAATAATATATAAATAGAACTATGGAAATATAAATAGGTAATAGATAAAAATAGAAATTATTAGGATCAATTAATATATTTTTCAATAGTATATAGGTAAATATCTAATATTCCTCATTAGACTTGGTTGAGATATGTAACATTTAAATTACCTATAATAAAGATGTAACTCTATTTGTATCAAAAAAAATAAAAATAAAAATAAAAATAAATAAACTACCACACAATAATAAAAACATAATAATTATGAACTTATATTATAATTTAAAGATGGTGGAGGAGATCTACATTTCTTGTAATTGAGGCAGTTTCAAAAGTTGACTTAAAAATCTTTGTAAGTGATTATGTTGTGTATATCTGCATAATTTTGTACAAAAAACAACCATGAAGAAATCACTTTTATTAAATTTTAATTTATGATTATTTACAAAATATGTTCATTGATATAAAATTTAATTATTTAATTTTTTTAATAAAATGAAGAGTCCAACTTATATGAATTCAAGAAAAAAAACATCTTTGCATATAATGACATCAATGAACTAATTGATTGATATGTCAATAGATTTAAGTATATCCTATTGATTATCATAATATATTCCTATCAATTAATTATTGCTAACACTCTTGGAAATAAATGAAAATACAAAATTATCAATTAGATAAACCTCCACAATCATCAAGTCTAAGAAATTTATAATGCTATCAAATTTATCCAAAAAACAATTAAGGAGTAATTAACAAATTTTAAAATATGAATCTAATCCTTATGAATTTTATAGTGCATAATATATTATCTAAAAGCATCTTCTATACAACTATTATGGAATATTGAATTTTTGGTATAACATAAATTTTATGTAATAATGTGTTTTAATACTTACAAAGAACTAAGGGCATATTGTTTTGTATTTTGGAAAAATAGCATTGATTTTATAAAAGCATTGTTAAATAAATCTCTGCATAAAATAAAAATGAATAAAAATAATATTTTATAGTATAAAAATAATAAAATGAAATAAAATAAATATTCATAAATATTGAAAGTTTGAAGTATAAAAGATAGTATAAAATATTTTATGATTATTAAAAAAAAAAAAAAAAAAAAAAAAACTTAATTACTATAAAAACTTAAACTTTAAAGATTGAAATGCCTAAATAATCATATTTGCAAGAATATTCAATAGAATATTTTTTAATTATTAGATTGAATCTACTTAGTTTACTATAGAGTATATTATTCTTAACTTCATATATAATAAACTATTTATAAATACAAAATCTATAAATATAAATATTTAATAGTAAATTTTATAATTATAAATGATTTTTAAATAATTCGATAACATATCATAATAAACAATATAAAGTTAGAATGCTTAGACAATTTCAATCCATTTACTTACAATGTTGCAAGTTGCACCATTAATTTTGAGTTGGTTGAAAATATTATGCTTCTAAAAAGATTATAACCACAAAATGATCTAAATCCAAAACAATCATGTTAATGCAAAATAAAATTCTATAATAGCACTAGTATGATGCAACTAATCTAAAACTCTCAAAGAAATAATATTTGTATAAAAATTGTATCCATATTTGGACCAAATCAATAATACATGGCTAAAGTGGCATGTTGACAATCTTCTATTACTTATATTGAAGTCATCTTAAAAGTCATTAGAAATAGGATTAGGATTTATGGACATTGCAATGTCAAAATATTTATTTTATTTTATTTTTCAAGATTAGAACTAAATAAATTCTTATTCATCCAAATCTAGTTATCTAAGATAACTTCATTTAGAGTTGCAATAGCATAGAAGTTGCAACATTTATTATTTTGCAATAATGGAATTTCAAAGCCATATCTTTTCATTGCCTTTGCTTATACAAATATTTCTAAATACCTTAATATATATATATATATATATATATAACTTCAATAACTATTTTTATATATCAAAGGAGAATTTTTAATAGACATAGATTATTATAAAAAAATTTATGCTTGAAAATTAAATTTCCATAATAAAAATATGAAATTGGTATAATTTATTAAATTCTAATTATTCAACCAACCAATTTTAATAACCATATAGACATGTTTAAAAAAACTATAGTTTTTTTTTGTTTTATAATAATGCAAAAAATATGCTTAATATTTATAAAAAAAATATTTCAATTGATCTTCAAAATTACTAAGACCTTGTAAATAATAAATCCAAATAGACAATGAAATGCTTACATTGATGTCTTCAATGGCCAACAATTGAGTGTGTCATTTGGAAGTGGTCCAAAAAGTTTACCAACAATTGAGCTGTATGGAAAATTAAACATGAAAATCATTAAACAGAAATGAAGTAAATCAATAAAACATTAAAGGAGCCAAAGACATCACAGATCTAGTTCATTAATAACAATCATCGTTTAAAATCTAGTGTTTAGATAGAAGAAGTATTTGAAGCAAGATGTGAGTGAATTGTTGTTTCATACTTACAGCTCTTGAAGATTGGTAAAATTTAAAATAATTGTTGGCAGCTCACCAACAATCACTACATCTCCTTCATTATTTGGTCCAACAATTGATCTGCAAAATGATAATGACAATCAACAATCTTGCGTGCACGAGATCAGCTCGCTTGCTACACAATTCCGCTAGTTGATGAGAGACGGGCTATGTTAGTACGTGGGGTGTCTACCATGGAAGCGACGAAGGCCTGGCCTGGTGGCTCTTCGGCGTCGAGGGGGGGTGGATGCCAGTTTGAGTGCGAAATTGATGCCCTTGCTGGATCCCCTGGCTGCTTCCATCCCAGCCTTTCCGAGAGCTCCCATCGCTCTCCTCTATTGCCACTTCTGCTGCTGTATCTCCGCTCCACCATGGCGCTTTCCCACTCCGGTAAATCACCACTCTTCTACCTGGTCGCATTGACCCATTCTTTCCACAGGAAATTTGATGAAGATTATCCTGGATTGCTTCGGTTTTATCTCGGCTCCTGGAAGTAGAGCTCATGATTCTTGTACTTGTGTGCGATGGTAGTTTTTTTTGGAACGTGGGTCATCTGTGAATCCAAGGACAAGTATGTGCGACGTGTGATTGTCGTAGAAAGTTGCGCTCCACTTTGGTGTAAGTGGTGTGAATGCCTCCAAGTAATTTGATTAATAAATATTTGGAAATCTGATGATGTAGAGTTGGTAGATTTGGGCAGAGGGGGATAATAGGTTTGTGCTCAAGGTAGTTTGGGCCGAGTAAAGGAGTGGCGTACACGATCAGTTAGCGCTCGTAGGATGTTAGAGGGTTGTGGACGTTTGTGATCTTGATGTAAGGCCATTAATGGCTTGAATTTTGGTTGCATTCTCATGACAATGTGGGTGGATTTAGATTTCCGAAGATTAATGAACTAATTGCGATACGAATGTGAGTTAGGGCTGTGTCTGAATGCGGTTTTTGCCAGTGCATGATGAAATTATGGTTTGATGGATTTAGTTTTAGTAACTCTGATGGTGTGATCGATTACGCTCAAGTCGTAGAAACTGGAATGATTGCCATGAAGACGAAGCTGTCCTGATTTTAAGCTCAGTGTCAATTGAGCTACTTTGGTTGTAGCTTGTGCGCTTCGTTTGGTAATCGGGTCCCGTCGTGGTTCCCAATTTAGAGCATACCTGTGCAGAGATTGAGATGCATTTAGAGTCTGAACATATTATTGTGTGTGAGACTCTGCAAGGGCGGCAGAAAGAGAGGAATTGATGGCCTACCGTTTATCTTTTATAGCGAGTGATACACGCTTGGCTACTGACGAAGAGCTTCAAATCTGAGCATGTAGAGTAAGTTTGAATATGGCTCATTTGGAGGGGTCGAACGATGAGGGTCTGCGGCTTCTGGAATGGAAAGGTCGGTCTGCTCTGGTCTGGTCGTGTACCTCCCTTTTGTCATTTCCTCTGTCATTCGATCCTCTTACATCCTCTAGTTGGGCAAAGGGCGTTTTGATTTTGATTGAAATCCCTTCTTAGCATAACTAGTGTAGTTTGGAAGACAGGGGTTCGAGCATATTTTAGTATTCATATCTAATCCAACGTTACAAGACCTCATTCATCACTTGGTCTTGATCGCTACCAGCACTTCCACGGTATCTCCCAATTGCCCCAAGCAGGAACTTAGGGGATTTTAACAACCTCGTCTGGGCTCGTAACTGTGCTGGAGTTTTTACAGAAGCCTCGTTAACTCATTTTACTGCTGCTCTGATCACGTGTGCTAGAATAATGTTATATTTCGGAGGTTCCACGATATCAACACAGTTCTTTCTCTCTTGTACCATTCTTTTGTCTCGTTTCTACTCCCTCTCCTCTTTTCTTCTTCTTCCTCTTCTTTTGTATTTTGTTTCAAAAATTTAATTTTAGTTCCAATAAAACTTTTGGGCGTGCGCCTTGACTGTAGAACGCTTGAATAAGAAAATTCGAAATACAAATTATTAATTGCACATTTATTGAATTACTGAAAACTTCAGTGGGAGCTTTTGAGTAGTGGGCACCTCTCAGCTGAAGAGCGGATATACCAGTATTTGCTAAATCCAAAAAACCTTATCGTTGTCTTTGTAGGAACAAGGGATGAAGAAGTAAGAGAACATCTACTTAATGTTTCTGACGATTTAAGTGGGAGTTCGAACCCCGGGTCAAGTTCGTTCTCGGCGAGTTCCTCTCTAAGGCGTAAATCATTCGCTTGTGTCAGCATCCGGAATCTTGTTGAGCCCAAGAACTTACTTCTTAAGGGGATCTCTGTTGAGATTAGTGGAGGACTAGTGTATTGCATCATTGGGCCAAGTGGAAGCGGAAAGGTAGATTTTCTGAGCACTCCATTGCAAAGTTTATTCACTGTCTGTATCTTAATAGTTTAATACATTAGGTTTGTGTTCAAATTCCCAAGATAGGGTGTTTTATCCAAGATGATTGCCGTGTTTTGCAGTCAACCTTCTTGAGAGCTATTAATCGACTTTGGGAGCCTCCAGCTGATACCATCTTTCTCGATGGGGAGGACATTGTTAAGATGGATGTGTTGACCGTTCGTAGACGGATTGGGATGTTGTTTCAAACTCCTATGCTTTTTGATGGTAAGCCCATCTTTGAAAGAAAGAGTGTCCAAGGATGCTAGTCAAGTTTCTGCTTATACGAGAATGGTTGCATTCGTTACTTTATTTAATTTAACGAGATCCACGTCATGTACTTTGAAAGAACGACCCACAGGAAGATGGCCCTGGGTGATTGAAAGATGATGAACATCATCGTCTGAATTGAGATGAAGACCTTGAGTTCTTGCAGGGACTGTGGCCGATAATGTTCGCTACGGGCCAAACCTTCAAGGAAAAACTTTGATAGACAGCGAAGTTGAAGGGTACCTTGAACAAGCAGATCTGGATGCGTCCTTTGTCCACAAACCTGTTGTTGGGCTTTCTGTTGGCCAAGCCCAACGAGTGGCACTCGCCCGAACTCTTGCAAATAAGCCAGATGTGAGTAAGATCCATATGTACAGGTTATCGTGGTCGTCTGCTTTTCAAGTGACCTTGTTAGTGCTAACGAGGAAATGAATGCGGAGTCGATGGACTGGTCTTGCTGGTGCCTAATGTAGTCATAACCCTGGAGTAATTGACATATGCGTTAGAAGCTTTGAAATTAATGCAGGAAAAATTATTAGAGCAGTTGTTACCTTGAACTCAATGATTCTTACTAAGTGTTCATCACCTCATTTCCTCTTTTCGCTGTTTCAGGTACTCCTGCTCGATGAACCGACGAGTGCACTTGACCCGATTTCTACGCATCACATAGAACAGTCGGTATTGGAGCTCAAGAGATCAGGGCTGACGGTAATTATGGTCTCGCACAGCCTTGAACAAGTGAAACGCATTGCAGATCATGTGTGCCTGGTGGTTGCTGGTGAGCTGCTAGAAGTTTTCAAACCTACCGAGTTGGACTGTGCTAGTCATCCTCGAGCTCGAGAATACCTCGAAGCGGCTCAAAGACACTAGGTTCACAAGTTTGCATCCCTTGGAAGTAATTCACCGGTGCCTGAAGGTTGTTACTGAACCTGCATCGGGCTTCCTCTGCACACATCGCACTAACCTACAAATCATTAAAAAACGTAACTCAGTAATGGAATAGGAGAAAATTTATCGAATACTTTAAAAGTGAGTTTTGGGTAGATGGGTTATATTATACATATATATATATATATATATATATATACTATAGCAAATAATTAGTTGTGTATGTAGTAAATAGTATAATAATGTGTTCCTTGGTAAAAAGATATGATCTTTGATTATGTCTTTGAGATTTATTGAAGATGTTTTATCTGATAAATTTCAATTCAATATTACACTTTCACAGGCTTACATGGTATTAATGTCAAAATTATATTTTTTAGAAAATTTTGGTCCATCGTTCATGGTAATGAGCCCAAACCAATACCATTTGCAGTATCTGACATTACTTTAGGCATTGTAAGAGCCCCTTCTTAACAAGAGAAGGAAGTATAGTTCATTGAAAAGAATACAATATAATATTTTTGTAATAATTAACAATAGTTTGGATCTTACAATAGCATTCCATGTGGGAAGTTGGATGTCAACAAAATTAACTTGGGATGAATTGGCTCAAATTTCTAAATCTGGAGACCTTCTCACCAAAATACATCTCAATACTTAATTATGTTCACTAAAAATAAAACCCAATGGTACTAAAATAAAGCATATTCATAATTTTTAACAAAATAAAAGTAACTTGTTAAAATCATTGTTAATTCTTAAAATCAAATAAAAAAATAACAACCATTCCAATAAATGGTAATCAAATTTTATTCAAAATCAAAATAGTCTACAAAATCATCAATTATATGTAGCTTCTTTGTTTAAACAAACCAATAAACCATCTATAATTTATGATGATTGCTATATATATATATATATATATATATATATATATTTGTATTATGTAACATATGTCTTATGAAAAAATAAATTTTATAAATTATAAAGAATGGCCAAATAATATCTTATTTTACTTAAGTGACAATAATACCTATGTAATTGAAGGTCAATGAGATGTTGTAATATAGTTATTTGATTATAAAGTAAAAGAAACACCTAATTTTTATACATTTATGGCCTTATTAAAAACTTATTTTCAATAACATAATTTAATAAAGCTATTTAAAATATTAATTTTTTTCAAAATAAAATAAAAATTAAAGAATAGTGTTGATAAATAACTTATTATTTGTTTATTAGAAAATAATTTGTATAAGCTTAGTAATAACAAAAAATTTAGTTCTATCATAATTGCTCATTTTGTCTTTGTCTATATTAATAGTTATTTATAGTATCTTTATATCATATAAATAAGCAATGACTTCATCAATTCAAATTAATGTGTAGTAGCATAAAAAATTATAATGTTAGTATTTTACTATTATGTTAACTTTGTCTTATTTGTAAACAATACAAGGCTCTATTTTTCAACAACACCAATTTTTGTGGCACAAAGTTATTAGAACTAGTTCATAGTGATTTATGTGGACCAATTAATCTACCTGCTCATTTTAGTTTTTTATATTTTTATAAATTAATGAAAAATAAGTCCAGATATATATATATATATATATATATATATATATATAAAGTAAATCTAAAATCTTTGATAAATTTCAAAGTTATATATAATTAATAGAAAAATAAAAATTTAAAAAAACTTATTATTCTTTGATTAACAATAGTAGAAAACATAAGTTTAAGAATTTTTTCATTTATTATTTTAAGAACATAATATTCAATGTTATTAAACTATTCTTGATCCAACTTCACAAATTAGTTTTAGCAAAAGAAAAAATTGTACTTTAGTTGGTGCCATTATTTCCATACTGTTACAAAATAGCTTATCTAAATGTTTTTGTGGTGAGGCCCTTCTCACTGCAGATTATTTACAAAATAGATTTCTAACCAAAGTAATTAAAATTTTCACTCTCTATGAAGTTGCACTCTCCAATAAAATATCCAATTTATCTTATTCAATTTTTTATGGAAACATGGTGTTTGCCTTAATCTACAAAGATCATTGCAAGAAACTTGATAATCATACCATACCATGTATTTTTTCTTGCTACAATATACAAAATCCTTATTGTTTAATAAGTAAAGATACTATAAAATGATGATTTTAGATAATATTTCATTTGATGAAAATTCATGTTATATCCCATCTATAGAAGTTCCATGGTAAAATGATTTTAAAAACAAAACAAATCTTCATTTGAATTTTCTTTTCTTATTTTGATTGAAATGTATATAGTACATAATAGATTACTTGTACCAGCCATAAATAAATTTAATATTTCTCATCTTTAATTACAATCATACCATAATCCAAATGAGCTAACCAATATTGATGGCAAATCATTTATAAGTGGTATCTCAATAAAGATAATACTATACAATTAAATCCAATGTACTTATATGATAAATTTTCTAAATTATATATAACTCCTAAAAAAATGATTCTTCTAAACTTCTACAATATTATTTACTACTTAAGAAAATATTTTAATAAAAAATAAATCTTTGTAAAAGGCTAATTATATCTACGAAAAGATAAAAAGAATTTAAAATCAAATTCTACTACTAAAGAAAAAGCTTTGTTTGTTAATACAATGGATAAAAACACTACTTGTAAATGAGCTTTGATTAATTTTCATGCCAAAAATTGGCAATTAGTCATTGATTCTAAAATTTAATTCTTATTTAAAAATAAAACTTGGTAAATAACTCTACTTTCTAAAAGACATAAATTAACTAATTCTAAATAGTTTTTTAAAGTCAAATACAATGTTAATGATTATATTAATAAATTTAAAGTATGTTTAGTTGCCAAAGACTTTATATAGATAGTTAGCTATTACTACACATTTTTTTTTCTAGTCTTGAAATTGGTTTTAATTATGCTATTATTTAATCTTATCTATTCGACTTAAAATTTTCTTTTTTTAATGGAAATATTATCAAAGAGATACTAAAAGCCATTCTAAAAAATATTATGTTGTATCATTTTTAATTTAGAAATAGTCTAGGTATCTAGCTATAGAAGGTTTACCTTAAACTTATTGATCAATTTCTAATAAATAATTTATCTTTAATATGAAGGAAAAATAAAATTAATAATAATAATAATAATAATAAATATATAAACAAGAAACTTTTAATTTTTGGGTAGATTTGTACATAAGCCTTTATATGATATTTATGAACTCTTTAACAGCAGTTGCTATGCTAAACTGAGCTATAACTAACCAAATTCTCATTAGGTTAGATTACTAATAATTTTATAAAAAATCAATAATCTCCTTTTAAAGACTCATCTTCATATCAAAATTTTATTACAAATTTATATATCCATCTTTTACATCTCCATGAAGTCTTAGTTTGGTTCTTACAAAATAATCAAATAGTAACAAAATCCGTTCAATAACTTATTTACCTATAAAGAATTTTTTCTTTTTAAAGAGTAGGATCTCTTATTTCTTGATCCGACTAGTCAATTTTACTTAAACTTATATATAATATAGCATATATTCTTAAGCTTTGTTACAATAAAATAATCAGCCATAAAATCACTTCCAATTGTTTGGCATCTAGAAAACTTTGGCAATTACTTTAAATCCTAATTTATAAATATCCAATTACTATTCATTTTATATTTTAAAAACCAAAAATTTAAATCCCACCAAAAATTTTAAGTAGCTTTTTAATATAATAATATATATTTTAAATAAATTTTAGTCCAAAACATCATCAAATTAATTGAAAGATATAGCTCAAAATTCAATTCCTAAATAAGCAAGTAACAAAGTGTCACTATATTGAAAATGCTGATTTCAATTCCAAATAATTTTTTTTACCTTTATTTAGAATTTATGAGTCATATATGGACAATATAGTTGAATAAGTGTATTTTCCAATTCTGGTTGTTAATCCTAGGTTATTTTCTACATGCATGGGTTATGCTCCAAAGAATGATAGTAGATATGAAATCAATACCTTGACCTTAAGCACCTATATCTCCTTCACAAAAAATTTAAATCACTCAATTTTTATACAAAACTACATCCAAAATTTAATCTCTTTGACTTTAGAATTTGATATTTAAATTATTCAAAAAGAATAATCATAATTTCTAATAAGGCCTTAGATAATCTCCTTATAGTCTATTAAACATGTTTCTTGGCCGAAGAAAATGAAGATTTCTATCATCTATCTTCATTCATCTATATGGATGGCCTGACTACACTTTTTGATAGTGAGATTGTTTTTCAATCCTTTTTTTAATAAGATTTGTATAGTATGTGTTTTAAACATCAAAAATAAAATATAAAAAATATTTTAAGAGTCACCAATATTTAATAAAGGTGATTCTAAATACATAAAAGCTATTATCAGCATAAAAAAAATCTCAATAGTAGCTCTTTTAAACTAATTCCTTCGTGAATTCTACTAATAAATCTTAATTGGTGGATTAGTTAAAAAATATAGTATTGAATCATTTAATGAGATAAATACTAAGATTAGAGAGTATTTTTGACTATTTACATACTTATTAGAATTTAGAAGTATTTATAAGTATGAAAGTCTTATTAGAAGAAAAATTACAAAAATAGAGTCTTAGTAAGTCTTAAAGGCAATTATCTTAGTTGGTTAGTATTTTCACTCATTATTGAGTATTAATGATTAGCAATTGAGACCAATGTCTGTATTGGCCTCATATCTACATGTACTACTTACAAAAATCCTATCAATGATTAGTTAATAGTTAAAAGAAGCATGAAGAAGAACTTCATGTCTTTTAAGTTATGTATGTAGAAAATAAGATTTTTAGTGGATTTAAATTTATTTTATTATTATAAAAATTTAAAAAATAGAAAAAACATAGCCTTTTATAGATATTTGTATTATACAAATATCATAGGATTTTTTAAATTTTATTTAGGACTTTTTATGAATTTTTAGAGAGAATTTCAAGACCTTCGTAAAATTGAGTTTTATCACCTTGAGAGCCACTATGAAGAAATGAAACAAGATTTGAAGACTATATAAGGTTCCTAGGCTAATTGGGTATTTTTGAACACCATGGTGAAGTCAAAAATGAAAAAAAAAAGTATTTTTAGTAGTAGAAAATAGGAGGACCAGCAGCTAGTATAGTCCTTGTAGAAAGAGAGGTACACAATTCCCATATGGGTTGTAGCACCTTGGGTATAGGTAGAAAGATAAGACTAAGGCCTAAAGGCCTCCGAGACAATCAATATACACTACTTGTGAGCCTTGGTGAGGCTCGAGCTCCTGATTTCTTAAGCAAGT